CAACTCTTAAATACCCTGTACCACCCCACAAAAAAGTAATTAAATTAATTAATTAATTTAATTAAATTAATTAACTAAATTAATTTAATTAATTAACTAAATATTAACTAATTAAATATAAAATATTCCATGCATGCATACATACATTTACAATTACATCAGAATCGTGTCTATGCGTGTTTGTGTACTTGTACATATGTATGTATGTGTGCATTGAGCCTGGTTATATGGCTATAACTTTCTTTCCGATCATTCTATCATAATGAGACTTGGTATACGGTTATATAATTACTAACCTAATGTGACTACCAAATTTTAGTTCAAAATTCCAAGAATTACGGGAGTTATAGAAAATCGTTAATAGGGGGGGAGTGGGGGGGTGGATCAGAAAAAATGAACAAACTCGTCCTTTCTCGGTCTCAGGAGAATCTGTATACCAAGTTTGGTTATTCTAGCTCTTATACTTTCGGAGATCCTTGCGTTCATACAGACAGACAGACGGACAGACAGACGGACAGACGGACAGACGGACAGACGGACATGGCTATATCGACTCGGCTTGTCATGCTGATCAAGAATATATATACTTTGTGGGGTCTACCAAGCCTCCTTCTGTGTGTTCCATGTGCACTCGCACTAAACTAATATACCCTTGTACCCTTTGGGTACAGGGTATAAAAATTCGTTTAATTATAGAGTACCCCAAAGGTACGCATATAGTTAAGACAAATGGGTGTACATTTTTTAGAAAATTCTACATTTTAGTTTGTTTTCAATTTAAAGTCGCTTTTATATATATTTTTTTAAAGTGTAGGGTACTCTTTTACCCCAAAAGGGTATAATGATTTTCATATCTTGCTCTTTCTGTGGCAAACACGATTGAGGCAACAACCGGCCTTTAAGGCTCTGATTACTTTTGGGCTATCCACCTTTATCTGAAGTGATTCACATTTTTTACGAGTAGGACACGATAAGTGCATGTTTGGCGTGCATATCCTGGCATCCTGCTAGTTGCAGACTGTGCATTCCTGTACAACAAGGAATGTGTTTGTACATATGTATAATGTATAGTATGTTTAATGAACTAAGCGCATGAAAATCAGACGCATAAACGCCAACGTAGAAAACATAACAATGCGACCACATAGCCCCCCTCCCCCCCAACAGGACACGCAGGCACGCCCACACATGTAAAGAAAGAGAGGGAGACAGGCTTAGGTAAACATGGCTCATAGCAGTGTACAAAAATTGAGTTGACGCCTGGTAAACAAACTTAGGCTGTCATCCACATGCCAGCGCAAGCAGGCAGTCGAAGAATGCCGCCCGTAAACTACACACACACACTCACACACACACACATAAATGCGGAAATATGTGAGGTGGCGTGTGAATATATGTTTGCTAAGCGAAAAGCATTGCCACGCGGCAACTTGTTGCACGTCTCATAAAGCGCCTGTCTGTGTGTGCGTGAGTGTGTGTGTATGTGTGCGTTTCACCTTCCGCCTTCTCTTCTCTCTCTCTCTGCCACTTTGTCTTTTCTTTGGTTGTGTGCACTAAAAAAAGCTGTTGATTATTCTGCAGATTGTTCCGATTTTGCAGCTGGCTTTAGATCGCGATAGGACTTGAGGCATAAAGCATAACGTACTTAGTACTTAGTATAAGTAGAACACCTAGTACAGATTAATCTTATAAAAAGGCGAAAAAGAGGCAGTAATTTAGTGGCTTTTGAAGCTTTTTTGCAGCGTGACGTTTAAGATAAGTATTCCTTCCAACTCTCTCCTAAACTTTAATGATCTTTCAATAAGCTGCTCAGCATTTACGATTCCAAGTTCCTAGGATATGCGAAGCTCTTCTTGAAGATTTCCTAATCTGGTATTAAGTTCGGTTTAAGTTCGTCTTATTTTGAATGGCTTGCTTAATTCCCAGCAATTTCAAGTAATGATTTGTCGTCCGTAAGTTTATCTTTAAACAACTCCTGCACATTATCGATAGCCGATTTATTTTATTTAATAAATCAACAAATACTGCTGCCGATAGATATTTAAAAACTGTGATTTAAAACATATTATCATATTAAAAATTAAAAAAAAGATTTGTTATTACATATACAAATTTTTCATAGGTTTTCTTATCTTTTAAGTTGAAATTATAACGTTATATTATTATATTACGTTATAATTTCAACTTAAAAGATAAGAAAGAATAAGAAATAATTTTCAAACAGGAAATAATCAGTTCAAGGCAATCTTTAAAAGAAAATTTCATTTAAGCACTGATTGCATCGATGGGGAAGGTTTCAGCTGTATCCGAAATCTAGCGTATAGCTTGCCTGATATCGTATGCCGGGAAAGTGTGGAATATACTCTGCTCCATTGACTGTAGAACTGAAGTTTTATTACGCGGAGGAAAGCGCATTTGCATTTAATTTGAATGTAAAACACTAACAATCTGCCAATTTATTGTAACTAGTATTAATAACATTGTGAATTTCCATAAAATAAAAAGGAACCAAATAGAGCTGAGCAGCTCTTAATAATTCGGAGGGGATTAGCTTCATCGATGGGGAAGGTTTCAGCTGTATCCGAAATCTAGCGTATAGCTTGCCTGATATCGTATGCCGGGAAAGTGTGGAATATACTCTGCTCCATTGACTGTAGAACTGAAGTTTTATTACGCGGAGGAAAGCGCATTTGCATTTAATTTGAATGTAAAACACTAACAATCTGCCAATTTATTGTAACTAGTATTAATAACATTGTAAATTTCCATAAAATAAAAAGGAACCAAATAGAGCTGAGCAGCTCTTAATAATTCGGAGGGGATTAGCTTCATAGCTAGCTTAAAATTTGGTCCGAACCTGGGGTGTTGTCCAACAACAAAAGTGAAATTCTCCTCTTTGAAACACTTTTCAACTTCAATCGTGTAATAACGATACTTTCCAGCGTCCTAAAAGGGGTGTGAGAGCAAATTTATAATCGTCTCAGACCAAGTTCGCGTTAAGCGAGGGCTAAGTGTAATAGTTAGGAAGTGGAATGAACACTCAAAATGGCTTCAGAAAGCTCTAGTCGACGTAATAGTCTTGTGGCAACTTAAAGAATGTGAATTATAAATGTATTGCCGATATTTTGAATGCCTTTTCACTTATTACTGAAATGTGTTGGAGTGTGAGGAATTAATTAAAATGCTTCAAAGAGCTCTAGCTGTAGGGATTACCGCGTATTCAGATCAACTTTCCTTCACAATATATAATTAAGTAGTACATAAATGTTGGAAACAACAACTTAATCGCATGTGCATCCAACATTGAACTTCTATAATTATATTTTAAAAACTACTATACGATTTTATATCTTGTATAATAATTATGTTTATATTTCATTTTAGGAGAGTTAAAGAGTTTTCAATAAATTAGTTACGAAATCCTTTATATACTTGTACATTAAATAATTTAATATTGTAATAAAATAAATATTTTTCAAATAAAATATAATAAAATATTTTTCAAAATAATTTCTTTTTTTTTTCAGATATTTCATTGAATCTCTTTAATTATATTTTAATAACTACTTATTGATTCTAACTTTTCCGGTGATGAATAATTAGACCGACATACTCAGAATCCATTTAATATAGTATGGCACAGTTTAATAGAGTAGCTCGCAATCTGAATAATATGTATAACATTGTTGTGCAGAAAAGTGACTTGCAAGATGTGACGGAAAAGGAAAGACATTGAAGTTCTTGAATACTGAGTAATTATTTCATGCCTATTACTCATAGATCTGACATATGGCGAATATAAGAAAACAAATATATTTAAAAAATGAGGTTATTGGTTCACTTATTTTTAAAGTTCTTCGAGATTCTACAATATTAACTTGACTGGGTTTCAAGTACGATATACCGCCATTTATTTTGTCTCAGTGTATCAATAAATATTCACTCAGAGTAAGCTATAGTGTATGAAGGTCTTCTGACAAATAAGCAACCGTAATATGCGGTTCGCTATACTCTTCTCTCTGTTTAAACTCTAAAGTGCAACTTATCTCTGCAGTTTAATTTACAATGCAATTTTAGGTATTTATTAATAATGCAATAAAGAGAAATCTTACAAATAGGCATAAACTGGTCCTCTTTTCGGATTAAGAGAGCATTGTAGCTCTATCTGGAAAGATATACTATTAGGCCGATGAACAGATAAAAAGGATGCATTTAACTCCGAGCTGTACTACTTTGTGATTTCATTCTGTAAATTACACAAGAATTCAGTATTTTTTTACGCTTGGCATATTAATTCATATTTTTATTATTATAAAATATTTGTATAAAGTATTTGTATAAGACGATATTAAGTTGCTTTTTAGTTTTGCAACACCCCGAAGAAGAAGAAGAAGTATGTTAGGTCCTACAACTCTTTTTATTTTTTATTTCTAACTTGCTAAAATATAATTTGCAAGACATACATGAGCATTTGCCATATTGATGTCAGGTTTCTAGTAGCACTATTCCGAAGATAATAAAAAGTGTATACAAGTAGATTGAAGCCATTTCGATATTTATCTTCAAATACCATGTGTGCCATTCTTGACCTGATTAACTATAAAAAAAAAAGAATTGCTTTCTTCGTGTTTATCCCATGTCAAATCTAATTTGATTTCCATTTGAACCGAACAAATCCACCAATTTGAATTCGCTTTTTTAAATATTAAAAAATATATCCCATTCCACAAAAATGTTTACAAATTGTTTCCAAAATGTGTAAATTGGTGTTCCCCGTCTAGAAACATATATTTGGGGCTCTATTTAATTAAATTTATAATTAGTAATTAATTCAGAAATACGGAACATACATACAATAGCTTTTTCACGCTAAATAGTGTATTAAAATATTTCCCTTGGATCGTGCTAATCAAATTTGATTTAGTTTTAATTTGAGAAACAAAATGTGTTCCTTAGTGGCGTATAGAAGTATCTCTGCCGGAATAAGTTTTAAAAATAAATAGAAAATAGAAAATGTTCTTTTATTATAATTTATAGTATTCCAAAAAACAAAATTGTAATGAATGCAATGTTCCTTTTTGTTTTTGTAAGTGTACGAACATGTAGGTGTGCTTTTTCCTGAAAGTCGAACGAAACACAAACACGCAGCTTGTCATCAAGGGGCCTTTCAGCGATTTTAATTAACAAAGTTACGAGTATATGCTCCACTTGTGTCTTCGCTTTCTCATTTCGTCTGCCAGCTCTTTATTTTTATTTTTTTATTATCTTGCTATCGTCCTGTCTCTCAAACGCGCACAAACTTGACCACCTTTTTGCTGCTCTTGCGAAGCAATACTTTGCCCAGCGGTTGGCCAAAGCCCTCATATTGTTGATACACGTGCAGGCCACGTACAACTGTAGCATGCACCACCCCGCGGAGCCGCTGTGCGGCATATGGGGTCGCTTTGTTCGCCGAGTAGAGTGTTTCGGGACTAACGGTGAACTGTTCGTCAGGGGCCCAGATGCAAAAGTCTGCATCGTAGCCCTCGGCAATGCGCCCCTTGAACGAGGAAAGGCCGCACAACTGTGCCGGCTGCCAGCACATCAGACGATGCACATCGGCCAGCTGCAGCTCCTCGCGGCTCCAGATGGCGGGCAGACATAGTTGCAGCGAGGAGATGCCCGGCCACGCCTTAAGGAAGTTGCCCCGCTCGCGTCCATAGGTGAGGCAGCGGGCTCCGGGCGTAGCGGGCGAATGATCGCTGGATATTATTTGTAGAGCGCCCCCCCGTTGCAGTTCCTGCCACAGAGACGCTTGATTGGCCCGTTCTCGTATGGGTGGCCATGTTTTGAACTCTGTGCGACAATCCTCGACCTGCTCGGCACACAGTGTAAGATAATGCGGGCATGTTTCGGCTGTCAGTTGCGCCCCTTCGCGCTGACATGAGCGTATAAGTGGCAGGTTCCCACTGCTGCTCAGGTTCATGATGTGGAAGTGTCGTTTGGGATGCGCCAGAGCCAAATCACAGATCATTTCTACTGCAGCATGCTCCATATGTGGTGGACGTGTGCGCAGAAAGCTCTCGTAGCATTTGGGTGCAGATTCGTCGGGTGGTATGGCGGGAGATACTGGCAGTTCCGCATGAAACTGCAAAACGGATAAGAACATATAAGGAACTATAGCGTTGTCTACCAGATCTCCCTCTGCGGGTTACACGGTAATACTTCAAAGGGCACACTGTTTAGTGGAGCACCACAAAAACAATAAGCAAAGGATGCTAGAGTCGGGCGGGCTCAACTCTTAAATACTTGTACCCTGTACACACTCCCAAAAATGAGAAAAAACTGTGAATTTTAGATCAATTAATTAATTAAATAAAACACATAATCACTAACTGGATGTGACTACCAAATTTTCAAATTACAAAATTCCAAGAATTGGTGAGTTAGAGAAAATCGCGAATAGAGGGAAAGTGGGGGGGGGGGGGGGTGTACCGGAAAAATGAACAAACTTGCCCTTTCTCGGGCTTAGGAGAATCTACATACAAAGTTTGGTTATTCTAGCTCTTATACTTTCTGCGATCCTTGCGTTCATACAGACAGACGGACAGACGGACGAACGGACGGCCATGGCTATGTCGACTCGGCTGTGGGTTTGTGGGGTCTGCCACGCCTCCTTCTGTGTGTTACATGTACACTCTCGCACAAAACTAATATACCCTTTTACCCCTTTGGGTGCAGGGTATAATAAAATGTGCCATTTGATACATACGGGTCTGTAACTTCAGGGTAAAAGGATTACTAGTCAGTAAATGTAAATATGTGACACACATATGACACACATGGCAGAGGCCACCAAGTATACAAGTATATAATCTTTATTAGTTTGACAAGCCGTGTCGATAGAGCCATTACCTTCCGTTCGTCCGTCTGTATGAACGTAAAGATCTCAGAAGGTATAAGAGCTAGAATAACCACACTTGGTATCCAAATTGCACATTAGTCTGATAAATAACGAGTTTGTGATTTTTTTCTGAAGCACCGCCCCCTCCCCCCGCTATTAGTGATATTCCATAACTTCCGTAATTCTTGGAACTTTTAACTCAGATTACATGCCGTTGGTGTTAAGTTTTAGCCATATTTATATAATTTATAATAAGTATTTAATTTAAAATTTAATAAATATTTAAAAACATAGGTTTTGTTACAGAGCATTTTGAGAGACGACTCTAGAATTCCATTCTTCTTCAATAATAGTTTACTCACCGCTAGCAATGCCCCTTCATCTACTTCCCTGAGTGCTGCAGTCAGCTGTTCCATGGTCATGGCCCCGAACTCCTCAGCCACGGGCGGCGCACTGCCGCAAAGCGTGCATTGCAGTCCCATAACGCCAGCGGCCAATAGTGGATTCAATTCACTGCCGTTGTCCGGCACCAAGCCACCCCAGAAGCCCACATCTACGTAGATTTTGCCGCGTGCCGTCGACGTCTTGGCCTTGAGTGCCTGTACGGTGGTAGTGGCGGGCGTAGCATTGCTATATACATTGAATGATAATGGAAACCATTTAGCTACAATTTTCCGAAGTAGTGCATGATTTGGAGGAGACCAACCACGAATTTCCAGTCCCACTTACGTCGGCCTGTCTATGATTGTTGTATAACCTCCTGCTGCTGCAGCCTTGGTAGCCGCCGTAAAGCCCTCCCAATCCTTCCTGCCCGGCTCATTGATGTGCACATTGGCGTCGATCAGGCCGGGCATGAGCACCAGCTCGCCAAAGTCGTACACTGCTTCCGATTCGTTTTGGTACAAATAGCTGTTCACTTCGTGTGAGCTGCGGAGCACTGAGTTAATGGACAAATAATACTCGGATGTGATGACTAGTTGTTAATTGCTTCAGGTCGAGGGCCTACCGCGCTGAATGGTGCCCTCGGTGTTCACAATAATGCCGCCGTGGAGCAGCTGATTGCCATTGCTGCCATCGCCTAAAAAAATGCGCCTGCTGAGGAACAACAAGTCCATATTTCCATATGGGAGCACACTCCGAGAATATGATTTACTCTTAGATGGGTGCGACGAAAATCTATTTACGTGTTGGCAGTCGAAAATGCGAAAATAAACTAGAACGCCATCAACTAGAAGATCAACAGATGCTGCCTACGTGACGCAGCACTGGCACAGTCTAGGAAGAGGCAGAACGAGAGCATGAAGAGTATGAAGAGCATGGAGGCTGGGAGCATAAACATTCTCGCGTATGTCTAAAAGTTTGCATACTAAATGCCGTAATTAAATTTCAAGAAAAATGCGCTCAAAACTTTTCCCTACACATTTTTTTTTGGTCAACTTTTTTTTTCGTTTTTTTTTTTTTGTTGGCTGCTTGAAACTTTTTGGTAAAGCGCAAAAGGCACAAATCTGCTTAGTGCTGAGAAAAAAGCTGTTGAGGGGGGGACTCGGTTGCCTTGTAGGTGTGTGCGTCAACGGGCGTCGAAGTTTATTAAAGTGCTTTCAATTTTGTTTCTAATACAACGATGGCCGCATTAATAGAAACATACTCGGAGTGGAAAGGTTTCCAAGGGTATAACAAGAGAAAATGTTAAGAATATTGGATTGGTAAGAAAGAAGAAGAAATGGGTAATTATATCTAAATACATTTAATGTTCGAGAAAGGCGAACTTTAAATTCATATTAAATCGAAAGTTTTGAAACACTTAAGGAAGCTATAGTTAAAAAGGTAAACTCTGCCTGGGCTCTATTGTTGCTCTTGTTGTTGATTTGCATGGAACATAAAGCCGGTTCAAAATTATGAAATTAAAAACACACTACATCAAGAAATGGCAAAACATGTCTTTACTGATCCGTCCGCCATACTCGTCCGATCTAAGCATTATAGAAAATTGTTCAGTGTGCGAGTCTCTTAAGTGGAATTGATTTCTTTAAATCATATAAAGAAATTATGTATACGTTTGCTTAGCATGAAGTTCGAGGTAATAGCTAACAGTTCACACACATTCTTCATTCTTTATTAATCAGAAAAAGAAATTAATTTGTGTGCCTCCTTTGCCCATTTTTTATGTTATTTGATATTTTTAAGTGAAGGGAATTAAATGCCCCAAAAAAATGAACTTTTAAATTCGTTAGAATTAAAAAAAATGACTAACGTAGTTAATGCCTTGTTAAATATGATTAGTATAGTTCAGTTTGTAAACTTTTATTGCCTAAAAAGTACATCCTAAAACCTTTAGAGTGTCCTTAAGCTTCAAAGCAACAAGCATGTCGGGCAATTCTGATAAAAAATAATTATTTAAAAATTGTGGTAATTTATTATTAATTTTATCAGAATCCGCCATACTTTAATAGCTACAGGCAGAATTCTTTCCCAACCCTCGACACATCCACTTCTCTGTTTTGTCTGTCTAAAGACAACTTTAAAATGCTCCTTAAGTTTCTTAAAGCATCAAATCTAATTCATGAAATATAGTTCTATTACAAATGCACAATATCTGGATTGATTCATCCATTAACTTTTGTAAATAAAATAAATTATAAGCAAATATGATAATAATTTGTGGAGATACGTGATTTTCATCATTCATGCTGAATTTTCTAAAAATATTTCTAATTTATTGACCTCAAAGGAGGAGAAAAAAGCTTAATAATGAAAATTTCAGCACATATAGTAGATTGATCCAATACGCGATTTTGAAAAATCGTTTATTTGTTGTGTGCGGGAGAAGTGGTTTAAAAAAAGTTTAAAGCAACATCAGGAAAAGTAATGTTTCCAATTTTAATTTTGGTTTCATTCCACCCAACTGTCTGAATAATAATAATAATAAACGTAATTATAGCACTCTAAAACAAGAGCATACGATAGCTATATTAGTATGTTTGTACTATATGTCTATACCAGATAAACGTATACATGTGTATGTTTCTCTATTTAGGTGATTTGTGGTGTATGCTAGTCGGGTTCAACTTTTGTTGCTGTTTGTCGCTGATTGGCGACACACTGGCGCTCACTAGCGAGAGCTTTTATTTGTCTTACGCGTGTGTGTGTATGTGTGCGGAACGTTAGATTTGAGTGCTTTTTTATTGTTGTTGTTGCACAGGCTTTAGCAATTTTTTTTCATTCACCGTAGTTTGTTTAAAAAAAATCCCAAAACGCAAGCCAAACGAAAGCGAAACTGAAACCGAAAACGAGCGAGCAAGCAATACACAAAATAGCTTTTCCAGCAGGAATGTGTGTGTGTGTGTGTGTGTGTGTGTGTGTGTGCGCCGAACGCGGCACGAATGCCACACGATGCTGGCGCCACCTTCGCGCACCCAAATGAAGTTCCACTTGTTGGTGTAGTGATTGTGTCTGCGTCTGTATGTGAGTGCGTGTGTATGTGTGTGTGTGTGTGTGAATTGAGTTGGTCTGAGGGGGGAGGTGCTGGCTCGTCGCTCGGCACTGTTGCGTCTGCCAGCACACATACATATACTTGTACAAGCATACATACATGTATACATCATCCATATATGAACATGGATAGACAGACTAATGCAGGTTAGCTTCAACACCAATACCAATGCATACTGAATAGCAGCAGCAGTAGCAGTAGCAGTAGCAGTAGCAGAGAAACTACTATGCCATAACCTGCCCCATGCCTCATGCTCCTGCCCCTGCCCCTGACTACCCACAACCCCTTGCAGCCGCATATTAAATTGGAATTGAAGCGATTTGAGTCGAGACGTTCAAACGGTCGAATAGTCCTAGCGCAACGCCATCGTCGGGCATCGCCGTTGCCGTTGCCGTCGCCGTCGCCAATGCTTTCGGTTTCGCTCGTCCTTGTCGCCATCATCATCGTCGTTGCCATCGTCGTCGACGTCGTCGCCATCGTCATCGTCGTCGTCGTCGTCGTCGTCGTCGTCGTCGTCATTCTCGTGCTCATCGTCGTCGTTGCTGGCCACAAAAATTGGCACTGGCGTCTGCTGTGTGCGTTGCTTGCAACTTCAATTCTCTGAGAAACTTCGCGACAACCAGTTGAAGTTTTTCCGCCAACATTCAACAGCGTGCGTCCAAATAAACACAACAATTACAGCAACAAAAACAAAAACAACAGCAAATCATCAGTAAAATAAAATTAAACTGAGCGTAACAACGCGTACAAACCAAAACAAAATGTTTTCGAAATACAATAATATCAAGTGCATGGAAACAAATCAATTTTAAAAGCCGTTTTATTGAATTGTGTTATCCGCGAAATTTCAATTGGACAACAATCCGTATTAAGAGTTGAACTCTATGTATAAATTCTGTGTTTATTAGCAGCACAGCATTGCTTGAATCTGACGGTGAGCAAATATTCTTTTCAAATTGTGTTCAAAACTATGCAAAACAGATAAATCCATTTTAATGTTTTGTTACCAAAAAGGCATTACACAAGAGAAAAAAAATATTGACAATTTTCTGAATATTAAGGTGAATGCAAAATAGATTTATTTATGCAGTTTGCCTGTATTTTTTTTATATATTTTTTTTTAGTATTTACAATTAAACTTCCTGATGTTCCCGATCAGCGTATAAATATGTTAAAATACAAGTGACTTACAAAATATTGAGTTGAAGAAGTGCCTATTTTTTTTAAAAAAATGTTACTGATAATTTGTATATTTTTTTAAGTGCTGCGCCAGACTTTAAACTTTTAAAGCCGCGATTTAGCTCATCGCCGAAAGTGGGAATTTTTTTTTTAAAAATTGTGATTTTTTTAGAGAAAACCCAAAACATTTTCTTCATTATAGCAACATTTAAAATTGAATGTTAGCTCTTAAGAAGTTCGTGTAGTAGAATTTCTTGAGAACTTTGTGAGGCTTCTCTTTTTCACGTTATCGTACAGAAATTAAATTTCTCGAATTAAGTAGGCTTAACTGTCCGCTTGTAATATGGTTTCATGTGGCCCAGACGCAGAACGTTCATAAGTTTATGTTATGTATTCTTGTATGTACTATGCTCATGAGTGTGTGTATTTATTTCCATGCCCTTTACGCGTTTCTGCCACATTCCTCATCCTATTGACGGGGAGCACCGACATAATTCAACAATACATTTATCTTGTACCAAAATCTCGTTTGACAATTTCAAGCGAACTTAAGCTGATGGCGGGTCTCCTAACCTGATGACGCGCAGTGTGTAATGAAATATTGCAGTTGGCACTTTGAACCTTTATTGGTGTTGGTTACACTTAGCCCACTCCCCCCACCACCCCAATAATTAGTTAATTAGTAGTAATTTGATTTCTATTGTGTATAGTGCATGCCCTTCAGAATCCTATGTATTAGTGTTTGTCTGTTTGTCTGTCTGGGTAAGAAAACAGGAGACAAAAAAATTATAGACTTCGAGTGAGTGGCATGAGTGGCGCAGAGAGTTTTTTTCATAGCACCATTTCCATACCTTGCAAGGCTGAAGGAGTAAATGTAGGCTTGTCCGTTCCACTTTCTTTCCTACTGCCGGTCTGACAGTCCTTTGTATTTACATCAAGGCAGGCTACCATTTATCAACGAAAATATTCCTCCTAATAAAGAACTGCTATAAGAATATTCATATATAATACATAATATCGCGTTGAAGATAATGTGTGATATATTTCAAATATATTTAAAATATATGTATATTTAATCTTCAGTGTTTATTTTCATATAAAAAGTCACACACCTCACCAAGTATATATTTAAGACTTGGTTTGCTGATTGTCCTGCTAATTTTTCGATAATTGTATATTATTGGGACCGTGCCTTCGAAATTATCGTATAATATTTTTGTTGTGCAGGTATTAGATTTCAACGGCAGTGCCCCTCACCAAGAATGACAATAAATACTACCTCTCTGAGTTAAACGTAGAGGACATTGTGACGAAGGTCAAAGTTTCTAATGTGCAATTGTTAGCCATACATTATGAAATACCTATCTGGATTAGGCTGGAGTAGCATGTTGATGGTCTTCAGAAAATTGAAAATCAAATCAAAAAGATATAGATATTTGCCAATGTCTACAATGGTTCTTCTGCTTCTTATTGCAGATATATAA